AGGCGCATGAGCAGAATCGAGTGCGCAAGGCTTGCGTCGCCCGTAGGTCGCAGGCGACAGCCTCCACCCTGCGGTGTGTCAGGCGCCCTCGGAACTCTCTAACGTTGCCTTGAGAACCGCGCCGAAAGAGTAGTCTGGACCACACCAAAACCTCAGCTAACGGCCTGTTGCCCATGGACCACGCCAAACATCTCAGTGTCGCCACACCCAAGCACCCTGGCCTGGCCCTGGAGGTTTGAACAGGGCCAGGGGGCGACTGCAGGCTTTTCTTGTGGCAAGCCAGGTCACGTTGCAAAAGACTGTTGGCGTGTGAGACAGGCTACAGAGCCCAATCAGCAGAGTACAGGCGCAGGTACAGGCCAACAGGGACATTACAGTTCGAGCGCAACAACATCGACTTCTACGGCAAAGACTTCAACGTTGCTGTCTTCAGCTCATCAAGAAGACAAAATTTGATCAGCCTCAGTATAGTGCTGAAAGTGAGTTGCGCACGTTGGTCAGTGCAGCTTGTGATGCTGTTTTCATCAGGCAACCTCTCAGATGTTTGACAACTGAGCACGTTCACCGTTCACCGCGTGTGCCTCATGGACAACAGTGCAACAAGGCAGACCATGCGCAACAGAGGAAGCGGACATCTCAGTTGCTTTGGTGTCAGGAGATGTTAGCTTCTAAAGAGTTCGAAGTGAAACAGGTCAGGACAGTTGCCAACATTCAATTCAGACATTGGGACAAAAACCGTTGAGCCAGCGGAGGTTGAGGTACAGTACTTGTTGCTTCAGCGCAACGCAATGGATGCAGAAGGCGACAGGATTGGAGAAGCATAAATTTAAGTGAATTAAAATGTTGGTGGCGAAGGGCAAACTTCAATGTCTCGCCAAAGCCTTAGGAGAATTGATCTTCGCGAGCGGCCCTGGGTGAGTGGCGGCGGAAAGAGAAGTTGTTGAATCGAAGTGAGATCAGCAGCTCGAGAGATCGTTACTTTCTCTTGGATGTGCGATTTCTCGCTGCGTCGGGAGCTTTTCTGATTGGATTGGAGGAGAACCAGGACCCTAGAAGTTCTGCTAGTGTACAGCGTTGGAGCTGTAATCACAGTGTACAAGATCAAGAGAGACAGGAAAAATACGCAGGCGGACTGAGATGGACTACTCACAGACTCACAGACATTATATAGAGCACTTGTCAAGCGCAATGGGTATGTGGAGTTGGCTTCTTTTGAGGAAGGAGAAGTGGGTTGCCAGAAGTATGGCCAAGAGAAAACAGGTGAGATGACTCCGAACCGGAGGAGGGGGCAGATTCACCGAAGAGCGCTTGATACACCACCAAGAGCAACAAGCGGGCCCAGAGACGCAACAATGAGGAGGAACCAGAATCAGAAGCAGAAGGACAGGAGGAGCTTAGCGCCAACGCAGCTACACTTCTTCTAGATGATGGAACAGGGTGGAGGTATCAGTTGAAGATCTCTTGCCACCGGAGATTCCAAGAATCGTGGATGAAAGACGCCTCCAGATTAAGAGGTCGAAAGTCCAGATGCTTCAATGAGCAGTATGACAGTTTTGAGGTCAAGAGCATGCCTTCAAGCTTGCGCGGGGCTACAAAGGCTTGAGTCAGACATTGAACGCAGCAAGGCGAGATGAACTCTACGTAAGAAGACTTTCAGAAGTCACAGTCTACAGTCTACATAGTAGTAGACTACGTCGGTTGCTGATGTCCTGAAGGAGGAGCGCGAATATTTTCAAGAAGTTTTCACACAGTAGTAGAAACAAGTAGAAACATGGAAACCAGCGCTGTGCGTGAACATACATGCAGCAGCAGCAGCAGCTCTCACTTAACTCCGCAGGCTGCATCGGCCCAAAAGAGTGCGAGGGACGGGTTCGCAAATGGAGCTTTCCCCGATCCCAACACTCTGCGACATGCGCAAGTGAAGGGCTTTAAACTGAAACTGGATGGTGCTGGTGCACCTAGCTTGGGACGGCTTTGGGCGTATTTCACAGCCAATGTGGGCATGTTTGAGAGGGCGGCTCTGCAGGCACTGAGGCTTGATCCATGCCACACAGTGACCAAACTAGCCAAACAAAATTCCCTTGAAAGGCGCGCAAAACCTGTAAGGTTCGGCTTGGTGTGCCTAAGCAGAAAACTTCTTGCCCCCGTGTGGCTGAAGGTTCCAAGTCGCAACCCAGGCAAGCAGGCCAGGGCCATGGATTTAGATGCCAGAGAAAGCAGTTGACTGTTGACCTCGTTGCTTGATGAGGACTGGACTTGAAAGAATGGGATGCGGAAGAGCTCAAGTCCCGGTGCGGTGCAATCTTTCAGGACTTCGTGTCTTGGACCTGCAAAGTTTCTTATGAAGCTAGGTAACTCGTGTTTGCAAAAAATTTCAAGATGCTGGTCGAAGCGTTCCTTCAAACATTTACATGATCAAGTTAGTACTGTTCTAGTCCCACCTCTGATTGTTTGCGGTCTTGCGGCTCGCTGTCTGGGAAATGGTGAATGACATGATTTGACGGTTGTTTTTTGTTTTCAGTCCCGTTTGTCAGCTGACCCCCGCGTCTTCCGAAACTCAACATCTCAGTCTCAATCAACAAATTTCCGCCCTGGTCAACTTGATTCAGTTTGTTCGAGTGTTGAATTCGGGTCCAATGTTTATTCAGTTTACTGCTACCAGATTGATGGAGAAACAGTCGACTGTTCAAGACATATGTGGCGTAAATACGTAGCAAATTTTGCAAGGGAATAACTTCCATCAAGATTTCAAGGCCACCTGCATTTCCATCATTTGTTCTGCCGCAATGCAATTCTGAGAACGTTGATTGATTTGTTGGCCCAAGGTGAGGTATGAGTTGACAGTGGGCGAAAACGTTGGCGTAGGTGAGCGGACGGATGGGGATGGCAAATATGCAAGAGAATTGACAAATGTCTGCTGACCATAATACTGTGCTTTGCAGCTGCCTCTCTCGGGAATGTTCGCCGTAGGTTTGATCTAATTCTCGAGAGTTGCTGGAAGCATTGATACAACCTCCGCGAGAAACCCTGATGGAGGTGATATTGGTGCAGTCGAAGAGGAGCCTCGCTTGTCCCGCGCTGCCGAACGGGGTATGGCTGCCCCGTTCATTAATCAGTGGCCACAGAAGTACGAGACGCAGCTAGGAAGCTTTCCTGATGTTTGCCTCGGTGTTGCCCTTGCTTTAAGAATTCTCATCACCTATTGACTATACATCCACCGGAAGACGATTGTTGTTTGTTTGTTTGTTCGTTTGTTTGTTTGTCAGTGAGTACTGTATATAATATCGTGTCGGGTTGAGTGTTCCTCCACTTGCCTCACAATATCCTTTCATCGAAACCAAAAGAGCAGCCAAGGAAATCTCTTCATGAGGGGGGCGCGAGCTTAGTGGAGGGCAGCGGCTTGGACATCAAAATTTGGAGCTGCTGCGAATTCTGTTTTTGTGACGAGGTATATAGAGGTACCCAGGTATATCCACGCAAGTCTGAGTCTTTCAAAGTGTTCCTTGCCAGGTGGCAGAAGGTCGCTTTGAGCCGTGCGTTGATGAGAGAAAAGGCAGATCTGCTGATCCTCGACGAGCCCACAGCAGACGCTTGGAACACAAGGGTCTCTCCAGTCAGACTGTTTCTGTAAAAACACAAAGTCTCTGAAGTTGGGCGTAAGTTTTTTTTTGAAAACGGTGAGGCTATGGATGCGGAGGCGGAGGCCACCATCTTCGAGCGGCTGGCCTCCCTTTCAGCCAAGCAATCAGCACTGCTGATCAGCCACTTGTTGTTGAAATGGAGGAATGCAACTTGCACTGCTCGTTGTTTGGTTTTGCCTTTGATGCTAGTTGGGCTTGTCAAGGCGGAGGTTACGGTATCGAACTGTGTTTCAGTCGCCTTTCGCAGGGAATCTGGATCATTGCAGTATAAAAGGATATATATAAACAGAAACAGCTGGTCTTTTACATTCTGTTGCTGTGTATAGAGAGAGGGAGTATCACTAAGATTTACGTGGGAGTCTTGCCTAAGGAGGGATAGTTGGAGGGTTGTTTCCTCGAGAGGAATGTGGAGGGTGTTGCGAGAAAATTGTTTGGCATGAAGTTTTCGGAAATAGGATTCACTCGGAGAGTGAGGTCATCGATTTTCGACAGTCCGTAGCTTGGCGATTTGAGAAGTGTGTTTTCAATATCATACCAAACATGGTTTTGTTAGCAGTGGCTGATTGCATCGTTGAAAGACTGATACGTACCTAAGTCTTAGGCGGGCCTAAGACTCAATTATATAAATTATGCTGGAATGCTTTTGCTTGTCCACTGGGCAGAGATGAGTGGAATGTTGTTTGGTGGTTTGCCTTTGGGCGGGCTTTTCAGGCATGGCAGACCAGATTGCGGTTTTGGAGAATGGGGTCATTCAGGAATTTGGCGGCCATGAAGAGCTCCTGGCGTTGGAAGGGACCTATGCAAGACTCTTCAACCTGCAAGCCAAGGGCTATCAATGAGCTAGGCTCGGAAGCAGGGAGCTTTGAGATCTATAGGACGTTGAAGGCTCCCTAAGTTTTCTGCACTCAGGAGCAGAGCCAAGCCAGATTATCATCCCAAAAGGTTATTCATTACATGAAAGTCTATAATGTTCTTTCAAGGCATAGTTTGAGTTTGGAAGCGACCCTGCAGGCAGTATGAGGCATATTCAGCAAGTGAGTAGATCTCATTGCGGGCTGCTATCCCTGTTGCCTTTGCTGAAAAGAGCATGCGACGAGTGGGGGTGGAGAAACAATCATTAATTGTGACCGTCATGAACCTCCAGGTTAAGAGGTTCAACTCATCCAGTGGGCTCTAAAGAGGCACTATGTTACATTGAAGAGCAGGAAGACATAGCTCCTCAAGCATTAAAACAGCCAATAAAGGTAAGGTGGCAAGTCTCCAAACTGTGCCTTTTGCCATTCTCTGTGAAAATGAACGTCATCGATAGTTATCGATAGTTTGCCAACAGAGACTCCCAACACAGACTCCTGTTGCCAGGAGTTGGAGAACTGCGCTGAGGCCACCAGCTATGACCCGTTTGAGCCGGTGAAGTTTCAGGCCACCAGCGATGGCAAGCAACAACGCCATGCGACGCACATCTCGATCCATTTCTTACAACCCAAAGACATGAACCATCATGGAACACTGCTCAAGAAATCTCAAGGAAAGGACCTGCAGTGGGACACATGCAACATTAATGTAGCAATTCTTCTCGAGTGCAGCACTTGTGTTCCAAGACGGTCCCTTCTTGGTGCAATAAGTTGCTATACAGACCATGTGAGTGGATCGACAGTGCCCCTGAAGGTGACATGTTCAACATGTTTGATCTTTGTCCGTGGCTTTGAGTGCAGGCGTTGGAGCAAGCGGAGGAATCGTTGCAGGCGTCCCTAGCACCACTGATGGATGTTGTCGCTGAAGCAAAGAGCTCTGAGAAGGTCAAAGAGACTTCGCGTGAATTCTGCTGATAGCTGTTTCCGAGCCCTGTACTGCTGCAGTTCATTACTTTTACCCGAGGATGGCTCCAAAAACCATAGCTGCCGCAGATGAGCAAGAGAGAGATAGAGAGAGAGAGGGAGAGAAAATGTGTTCAAGTTTTGTTTGGCTTGTTTACTGTAAGAGATATGAACACCAAATGTGGTCAGCGAATTATTGGTCTTGAGCTGTTACAAACTGTGAGACCTTCCGTGAGCATAACAAGCTTCTAATTTTTCAAGCTATCCCACCCGCTCGCACGCTCCAAGGATGCTTTAGATGCAACCATTCTCAGATCTTTGTGGGGCAACCAAGCCGATTTGTCACTAAGCGCTGGTGAAGTTGCAGCCGCCACCTAGCAGCCACTTCAGAAACGAACTGTTAGTCAGGCCTGGTCTTAATAATATAAGCGCACATGCAGCTCAAGGGCCACACTGCGACTGCAAAAGGCTGTCATCAGCATGAGCTAATTTGGCTATCCATGGCTGTCTTCATTTTGTTTTGCACATGTATTATTTGGATGATAGCTTTAGGTAGGTGCATTTTCTTCCCTAGAAAGGCCAAACCACTCTGCTGCTGTCGAGGTCAAGGGGGGCGCGGTGGACAGCTTGGTCTCTGACCACCGTGGCGTTGCGGTGGAATTGCTGAGCAGTGCGACAGACGTCATTGTTGTCCTGGACAACCATGGCCTGGAAGCTCGGGCAGGTATAACCAGGCATGGGTACATTGGCGAGGAAACGCGAGGAACTTGTCGTCTTGATTATTTTGATTTCCCTGCCAAATTAGCCGCTTGATCGACAGCCTGCCTATCCCAGCAACCCGAGCAAGGAAGTTCTTTGCGATTTGGTGTTGGTGGATAGTATCCTGCGACTCACAACCGCGTCCGTGACCCTACATGTCAAAGATGCCCCTGTTTTCGTGGCTTGGTGGAAGGAAGGCAGCGGCTTTAGGAAAAAGGACACATCATGGCAGATGGATCTGGAACATACGTACAAGCGACATAACAGCTTGTTTCGTGTGGAACATGCAGAAATGACTTTGACACAATGCCGCATCAAACCAAGGATTCCAAGGGTTGGAATGGATGATCGTGTCATAAAGCTTCACAATATTTAATGGACATTGCTTGAAGGTTTTGAGTCATCATGTCTCAGGTATCTGATGTGACCCAGAAGGATGTGCCCGAGGTGCTGCAGTGGCTGGAGCCCCGATTGCCAGTGCTCGCTGAGAGGCTGAAGCAGAGCCAAGCGGATGGTCGGCTGAGGGTAAAGGCCCACGAGCCTGGGACCCAAATCAGGATTGAAGACTGCTCGTGGGAGAGTGCGCTGTGAAGACAGAAGGAGCGCTGCAAGAGTTCTAAAGTAAATCATGTTTGGTCAGCTCCCAAGCTGCATGTCTCCACCCTGAGTCATCCAGCACACCCAAGGACTTTTACACTGGAGGCAGAGCATTCTGGGAACTGCCCCAAGACTTGCAAGAGGATTACGCTGAGGCAGTGGTGATTCTGAAAGGTGACGCAAACTACAGGAGACTCCTAGGCAAGGCTTGCCAAAAAGATCAGAGAGCTCTCAGCTGTCAATTTGAATTTGAATGGAGGAACTGTTTGGAGGCCCATGTTTCCAATCTACAAAGTTCTTTATGTCGTCATGTCCACTTTTCAACACACATTATATATTTCAATATATATATATACAATATTTATAATATTATATATATATGTACGTTTGAAGTTTGAAGGGTCAAACAATCCAAGGAGAGAGGGGGAGAGGGAGTGAGAGAGAGTTTCCAGTGGAGACCTGCTGGGCGTTTTCCAGGTGACTTGCACTGGCCGTATGACACGGACTTTGTGGACTTTGCCAGGAGTTTCTGGAAAGGGATACTTTTTGGCATCAGTGTAACGTGAGATATAGCCGTGGGTCCAGACCCAACCAAAACCATGCAATCGGTTGAGATGCTTTGGATTCTTTGGGAGTCCATGTTGGTGTCTTCCGCGTCAACCAGGTTAGGGTTTTGACCCAGAGCCTGATATGTCCTGAACAGGTTGTGGTCAACGCAATATTCTTGGGACGTACTGGGTTCCGGTATGGTGACCTGGGTTAGTTAAGAAGTATCGTGATCCCACGAGTAGAGCTTGAGAAATGGTTTAGCCTAAAAGCGTTTTTGTCCAAGTCGGTGAACACTAGGTCTTTCCTTTCAACTCATTGTCTTTTTGCCAGGCCTGTTGCCCTTTGCAAAATTCTGGATTTGAACGCGGTCGGTGCCCAGGAAAGGGCTGATTTGCTTGCGGACCATGAAAAGCGGTGTTGCTTTGGGCATCAGTGAAGGCGAGCAAAACAGGGCGAAGTCGGCCCACCCCGATGATTGGCTCACATCAGGGACCTACGGAGTCTTGGCCTTTCAAATCAAGTGTTCCTCGTGTGCTTGACTTGTTCAAGTACCATCGTGTGCTATCATTTAGTTTCACAAAGAAAAGTTAAGTTTCTTACAGCGGGTTTGCACAATACAGCTGGAGTTGACTTGCCTGTGCATTCATGCCGAGTACAGCCAAGGACAAGTTCTTGCATTTCAACGATGAACATATGTTGTCAATCATTACGCTTGATCCGGAGAGATCACCGAAGAAAATTGATAAGAGTCTCTGTGGGGTGATGGATCGTGGTCCATCAGCGACACAAAGGTGTTTACGGAAATTGAAAGGCATGAAGCGAGAGCTAAACCAGAGCAATCCGTGACCTTTGTTTGATTCCTGTGATATTGGTATGCTTTTGATGCCGCCTACAAATGCGCGTCCAAAGATTATCGCAGACCTTGCCTTTTGTTCACGAGGTGATTCTCAACAGGGTGGTTGCTTTGTTTCCAGCATCAGAACTCACTTGGGCCAGCACTACTGTAGAGGCTGCAAGTGCTTACCGCCCCAGCCAGCATGTCTCGCAGCATCGGGGTCAGTCTTTGCTCACAGGAACAGCCCAAGCCTTCACAACGAATTTGGAAGGGGTCCGAGTCCAAACATTCTCTTTCGAAGATGAGCTATGTACGACTTCAAATCTTTTCTTCCAAGAAACATGGAGCGCTGAGCAGTCCCATTTTTGTGAAATTGGGCGACAACAACACCTGCTGACTTTGGCTCAAGCTTAAGCTTTGGTGACGGGAACGCCACCTTGGGTCGTCTGCTTGGAGTAGCACTTAGCGGCGCGGCAGGTGGCTGGGGCAGGGGGCTAGGTAGGGTGGCTAATCTACCCAATCAATGGGTTTAGCTGGGGATTGTCTTCGGAACTCTGGCCAAATGACAAATGTCATTCATCTTCAGGCATTAAGAATCATTAACACACATTGACATCACAATCACGTCCTAGATCCTCAAGTTGCGGATTCAACAAATCACTCCACCTTCTGGAGGGAAGATGTTTGAGCAGAAGAAGTTTGGATTTGGAGAGACACCACATGTCACCACCGTGGCTCAAAAGACCGCAACGGAGCCCAAGGACAAAGATGCGCGTCCTGTACCTGTCGTTCGTTATAGCTGCACGCCTGGCTCAGTTGGTTTTTGTTGAATGCATAGGGATTGGGATTGGATTGGATTCCAAAGCACCACAAAGCAAGATATGAAAGACCTTTTTTGCTTCTTCTCATGTTTGCAACCTTTGTTTTGCAAAATCTGTGCACCCAGAGAGAAGGGCTATAATCGGCTGTAAAGGTGCGGTGGTGAATGAAGTTGCTATTGCTCAAGCTGCACAGATTTCCCTTCAGAATTTGGATGCCCCAATATACCCTAACTATGTTGCGAAGGAACACTCGAACGCTGAGGCTGAGGACAGGTTTGGAAATGTTTAGAAGCATGAATATCACCACTGTATATTTCCTCCTGAACCAGGCACTGGCACAAAGCGACGCCAGCAGCCTATATACAATGAGCATAGTTTGCTGTTCAGAAAGAGTTGATCAAGGATAACGGCTTTATTTTGTTTTGTAGCTGCGGTACAGGAACAAGGTTGTATTGTAAACTAGTAGCTTTTTGAATTGAATCGAAATTGAGCTGACAGGCACGAGGAGCATGACTCTTGTTTAGTGTAGCAGTGCCATGCAGTGCCACAGGGCAACGCAGAGCACTCAAGGATGGCTCTACACCCACATCAGCAACCGGCCACGACCGCGACTTAGCTCTGGCAGATGGCAGGTGATGCTTAGTGAAGGCCTAGTAAAAACCAACAACTGTCGCTCAGACAATCAAGCGATAACGTTGTGGTAAATTTTGCAGGCGCGGCCGAACTGTTGCGTCAACTTCAAAAAAGACAATATTGCAAGTGACTGCAAAACCACAATTCAAAATGTACGTCATTTGCTCGCTCTCTGACAATTTTGATCCGGTGCAGGAAGGGCTGCAAAGGTAGTACATAATCGAGTGCCAGTGCTGTTTGCACATGCACTTTCCGCAAACTATTTGAAGCAATCTACTTTTGAGTCGCAGTAGCAGTGGCCTTTTGGGGGGTATTTCTACACAAGCATGGAGCAACCATTGCTGGGCTGCTTGAGGCGGGAAAGCCTATTCTGACGACCGACATTTTCCACAGAACTGCAGAGCTGTTCTACGATCTCTACGTCATGGGCCTAGCAGATGCCACACCCCACATGATAAGGAGCCCCTAGTAGCGTCCTTGCTCCTAGTAGCGATGCCCTTTGTTCCTAGTAGCTTCTTGTTCCTAGTAGTAAGGCCAGGAGCCCCTAGTAGCGTCCTTGCATATCCACGTTTGTCCCTGGAAACAGGAAACAAAATGCAGCCTTGAGGACTCCTTCCACGGGAAGTTCTTGAAGCCGCACATCGACCAGCGGGGGTCTCACAATGTTGTCCGATGTTGTTCTTCATTATGGACAGTTTGAAGCATTTTGTTTGGCTTCAACGGTTTGAACATGTTAGTGCATGTTAATACCGACCAACAAAGATTTGTTGGCCTTGAATGCACTTGAGCAACTGCCAAAACGTGCAATCTCAGAAATTGGGCATCATTTGGCTAAAACCTGCAAAAGCGATAGGCCCCCTCAAAAGCGATAACCTTGCTGATTCATGTCCTTTGCTTGACAGTACGTTTTGGCAGACCCTCATTTGATGAAAGCAGATCCTCTGAAAGATACTGCTTCAGCTGCACATGGTTTGGGCAAACAATTCTGAAATCTCTAGGAATCACTGGAATCTGGAATCAATCTGAGTTGATGGACATTTGCCCCTCACCCCGTTGTCCGCAGCCAACATGCCATTGAATCCAATGAACCCATTGTAACCATCCCTCTACAACTTGGGACCTCAAGCATGCAGCAATGACCCAACGAACAACTACTATTCCTGAACTCGAACACAGGTTCAACTTGCATCATCAACGTCCGTTTGAAAGCTGCTGCTGTGCCTACCATGTTTGCACTTGTCAAAACGAAGCCTCCGCATGTTGTGTTCGCCACTCTGTTTTCTTGTACCTCTGCTGAAGGCATGCAGAGACGGTCACAAACAGCGTGGCTTCGTTGCTGCCCAAAGATGTGGACGTGGTGCACGTTGGATTCCCCAGCTTGTCCATGAAATCTGAGACCAGCATCCCACAGCTGAATTGCCACAAGTCTTTGGATTCACAACCTCCCGTGACGCCGCGATGTGAGGGTTGAGTCAGGTTCGGTTGAGGTACATTAAGTGCACAGACAGTCGCTGGCAGCTGTGCAATCCTTGAGCTGGGAAACATTCCAATCACTTCACAGACGGGATCCTCTTGATGCCTTGCGTTTGAACTTTGAGGAAACCTGCCAAGTCCTGAAGTGTGATGCCCAGCAAGTGCTAGGCTCAGCTTTGTAGACGGTTCAAAGAAATGCAAGATCGCGGTCGCAGTGAATCTCTCTTGCTAATGATAATTGCATGGAACATGTAGTTGCCTAGCTAGTTGCGATTATATGCAATGCTTGCACTTGGCCTTTGCCTCAAAGACTCCCGGAAAGGCTACGTTTGACATGCGGTTTCATTCATGTGAGTTTTTCCCCACCTGCCAGGTGAGGGTTGTTAGATTTTATCACAGTTGTTCTTCCTCCGCCTCCGCCTCCGCCTCCGCCGCCTCCTCGTCCTCCTCCTCTTCCTCCTTCCTCCTTGCTTCCTTCCTCGCCAATCTGCTTCGCCGATCTTGTCTGGCCAGCTCCGGATCGCAGTGTGCACCCCTGGACCTCAACCGCAAGGATCCTCTCGCAGTGTGCACCCCTGGACCTCAACCGCAAGGATCCCCTCGCAGTGTGCACCCCTGGACCTCAACCGCAAGGATCCGATCGCAGTGTGCATCCCTGGACCTCTCAACCGCAAGGATCCGATCGCAGTGTGCACCGCTGGACCTCAACC